AGGAATAGGATATGAACAAAATCCTATATAATAGGTAAATATAAACTTACCTATTCTTATTCATATTTTATCTTGATCGTAGGATAATGGTTTCACAATTAATATGGTAACGTATTTATCGGGTTACACAATTAAATGTAGTTTAAAGGTTACCCCTGCAAATAAAATCATGAGTTAGACCATGTACAATGGTTGTCTTAATAAGCAATTGCTTAGAATATTTTAGTATTATTTTGGTGGGACCCTGTGCCATTAAGCAATTCTATGATTTAAGCAATTCAATCCCACAATGGTGAATTGCTTATTAAGCAACTCATGCGGGTCCCATATATACCCCACAAATTACTTAATTGAAGCAATTTTGGATTTCTCATCCTCTCTCTCATGTCTTGCGCCATTTTCTGGTTCTTTGGCCCACAAATTCTGATTGCTTGTGGATTGCTTATTCAAGCAATTGCTTAACCTAAGCAATTGCTTGTCTTCTCTTCACAATGGGAAATTGCTTAAATAGCAATTGCTTATTTTTAAGCAATCAGTTAAGCAACCCCATTGTAGATGGCCTTAGTAAATCAGCAAATAAGTATATTTCTTGTGGTAAAGATGCAACTTGTCCTTTTTTTTGTGAACTAGGGTTAATTTTGAAAAAAGTGGTATGATTAGTTGTTAGGGCATCCACATCCCTTAACACAAAAATCATTCATTCAATAAAAAAGTAACACTTTTTCTCATCCACATCATCTCTACATCATATTTTCACTATTTCTCTCTCCATTTAAACACACACCCACATTCCTACACATTCATTTGAATACGTATGTAGGACCCATTATCCACTCATGCATAATAAAATATGATTTTAAAACAAAAAAAAAAGAAAAAAAAAGGCAGATTGTGGGCGTTCAATCAATTGAACGAACATGTGGGCCCAGCTCAAATAATGAACACCCATACTCCAATTAACGCCACGCAGCCGTTTAAACGGGACATTTTAACGCCTCAATGCGGGTGCTCTTAGTGGGATTTTAAATTTATATTAAAATAATATTTGAAATAAAATAATTAAAGTTGATTTGATGTAAAAATATGAGAGAGATAATGTGAAGGATAATTGAGTGGATGAATAGTGACTTAATGTTGATGTGATGTGTACTATTAATTGGTTTGTATTATTTAATTATTCAAATAATATGAAAGAAAATAAAATTGCGTTAAATTTTAAGTATGAATTAAAATATGAGTGAAATATTTTTTATATATGTGATTTGCCAACTCACATATTTTAAAATTGAAAATGGCACTGGGCAATCATTCTTGAGCAAATGACTTCATGCCCAATTCACTTCAACCACAATCATTCCACCCCTTTTACTCAAATAAATAGTTGGCATTAACCATAAAATGCAATTATTACCTCGCTCATAGCTGCCTCATTTTTTACCAAACTCAACTGATATAGTGAGATGATAATAATTGCCTTGAATTATGTATATATATTGATTGCTTTTCTATTTTCAAATTTTGGAGAGTACAGTGCAAATATGTATAAGCTTGGGTTCCATTCAGTACATGTTTTAAATTAGAAAGGAAGCTCATTAAGTCAAAAGCTTGATGAGTCTTTGATAAATGGATTACTAGGCAAAATTAGTACTTACAAAAAGCAAAATCATAGTATCATTTTTCTTTGCTTGCTTGTGTGGTTTTTTCCTTTTGTAAAAGTAGATGATAATACTTGATTGATGCCAAAACCCACTAGCAAATAATATATCATCAATCACCCTTGCCTTTCCACATTCTCTCTCTCTACCATTTTTACCAGAAATGGGCGATCCCCATTTCCCTCACAGATCTAACCATAATCCCAACCCTTATTACCCTCACAACGCCAAATCGAGGAGCGGCCGCACCAACCTAGCGTCCTGCGCGGTCGCCACCGTCTTCCTGCTCGCCATCGCGGCCGCCGCAGTCGCCGTTTACTTCTTCCTCTTCAAGCCCAAATCCCCGCTGATCGCCGTCAATGCCGTCCAGTTCCCCACCTTCTCCGTCTCCAACGGCACCGTCAACTTCGAGTTCTTCCAGTACGTCACCGTCACCAACCCTAACCGGGACGAGTTCTCCCACTACGACAGCTCGCTGCAGCTGGTCTACTCCGGACAGCCGGTCGGGACCGTCTTCATACCCGCCGGCAGAATCGGCGGCGGCGAGAGGCAGAAGATGTCCGCCAAGTTCGATCTACAGAGCTACCCGCTCCCGCCGCCGGAGAGGGTCGCGATCGGCGGCTTGAGCGACGGTGCCGCCGCGGCGGAGGGGACGATGGAGATCGAGACGCGGATGACGCTGGTGGGGAGGGTTCGGGTGCTGAAGGTGTTCATGCACCGGGTGGAGAGCCGAGTGAAGTGCGGGGTGGCGGTTGAGGTCACGCGCGGGACCGTGCTAGGTGTCCGCTGCTGATGTCGCCGAGACGAAATCTGTTCTGCCACGTCCGTTTACAAGAAAGAAAAAAAAAAGGGCCAAAAGAGGAGAGAAGGAACTAAGATTAGAATGTATTGATGAGTTTGTTTTTGGTGAAACAAAATTCAAGCATACAGAATAGAAATAGTATTCTCTGTGCGTTTGTTTGTGTGTTGTGTTGTCCTTCCTAAATTTGATGGAAAGGAATACGTACGTTGATATGTTACAAGTTACAACAAATGTAAAAATGTTTGGTTTATTTTCTCTCTCTCCAAAACCCTAGTTGGCTACCGTAATTCATTTTTCCTCCAAAATGGGCAATATATATAGCTCCCTGTTAATCTGTCTTTACCTCTTAACCTACTTTCAGACACTGCTAAATTATACGAATTACAATATTCCAAGTAAAATCAACTGATCCATGTAGGAGGTAAATTATCTACAATTTTAAAGAAGTAAACCAGTGCTTTACAAACATAAAAACAGAACCAGGGCTGGTTACTTGTAGGCATTGTCTTGAACTGTTACAAAATAAATTACAAGGTCAGTCGGATTGGTTTTACCAACCACAACTTGGCATTCAGATCTCTAGAACAAGTTTTTTTACCAAGGATAAATGTTGGTGTTTATCATTGGTAAACAAACCAGGCATTTTACATGCCAAGGGCGAGAATTGCCGGACTATCTTATCAACCTATCGACGGTCGAGCTATAGCTTCATGGTTTGATGCGCCTTCTCGATTTCTGCTTTCTCCTCCCCCTGCCATGAAAGGATGTACCAACTTTTACGATACAAATAGTCCAGCATTGCTTCATTTTTTTGTGGACAGAATTTTTTAATCGTAAAAAATTTTCCAATAAATGGTACCTCTTGGTTGGTTTGGTGTCGCCAAACACTCCCTTCATCAGTACATTGATATCTACATTGCGTTCCTTTGTGATTTTATCGTGGTACATCTTACTGCCGATTTCTGTGATCAATTCTTCTACTTCTTCCAGGGTTTGGTCAATGTTGAGCTGCAGTTCACCTTTCCTTATGACGGTCACACTGAATCCGTTTGCCTTGGCTTCACGAAAAGCATCCTGTGAAGAAAATTGAACAAGATGATATTAAGGATATTTCATTGCCTTTGCCTGAGGAAATCATGGGATGAACCATCCATGTTGTCTTTTATGTCTTAACAACAGAGCATAATAATGCAAACACTTCCACTGTATTTAAATCACGGTATCATTGTGGTATTTGTGAGGGACAATTACAAAAAACTACCTACCAATTTTTAAGGCAGATATCTGCTAAGTTTAAAATGCGAGTTTCTTCTTCTTCTTCTTTCTTTTTTTTTTTTTTTTTTTTTTTTTTT